CATTTTTGGTCAAAAACTAAGAAACTGATGAAAAATGTTCGTAAAAATTATTTTTCAAAACTGTATCTTTGCCTGCATGTTTCTCATAAAATTAGTGAACGTAGAGAACATTTTTACAAATTTTTCTGTTTAAAACTTTTTGTCAAAATGTCAGTTTTTCATGTCATTTTTGGTCAAAAACTAAGAAATTTTGACAAAAACTTCAGTAAAATTATTTTTCAAAACTGTATCTTTGCCTGCATGTTTCTCATAAAATTAGTGGTTGTAGAAAACATTTTTACATTTTTTTCTTTTTAAAACGTTTTGTCAAAATGTCAGTTTTTCATGTCGTTTTTGGTCAAAAACTAAGAAATTTTGACAAAAACTTCAGTAAAATTATTTTTCAAAATTGTATCTTTGCAAGCATGTTTCTCATAAAATTAGTGGTTGTAGAAAAGATTTTTACATTTTTTTCTTTTTAAAACGTTTTGTCAAAATGTCAGTTTTTCATGTCATTTTTGGTCAAAAACGAAGAAATTTTGACAAAAACTTTAGTAAAATTATTTTTCAAAATTGTATCTTTGCAAGCATGTTTCTCATAAAATTAGTGCACGTAGAGAACATTTTTACAAATTTTTCTGTTTAAAACATTTTGTCAAAACGTCAGTTTTTCATGTCAACTTTGTTTAAAAACTAAGACATTCTGACGAAAATTTTTTATAAAATTACTTTTGAAAATTGTATCTTTGCAAGCATGTTTCTCATAAAATTAGTGCACGTAGAGAGCATTTTTAGAAATTTTTCTGTCTAAAGCTTTTTGTCAAAATGTCAGATTTTCATGTCATTTTAGGTCAAATACTAAGACATTTTGACGAAAATGTTTGTACAATTATTTTTCAATATTGTATCTTTGCCTGTATGTTTCTCATAAAATTAGTGCACGTAGAGAGCATTTTTAGAAATTTTTCTGTCTAAAGCTTTTTGTCAAAATGTCAGATTTTCATGTCATTTTAGGTCAAAAACCAAGAAATATTGATACAAATGTTTGTAAAATTATTTTTCAAAACTGTATCTTTGCCTGCATGTTTCTCATAAAATTGGTGCTTGTAGAGAACATTTTTAGAAATTCTTCTTTTTAAAATTTTCTGTCAAACTGTCAGATTTTCATGTCATTTTAGGTCAAATACTAAGACATTTTGACGAAAATGTTTGTACAATTATTTTTCAATATTGTATCTTTGCCTGTATGTTTCTCATAAAATTAGTGCACGTAGAGAACATTTTTACAAATTTTTCTCTTTAAAACTTTTTGTCAAAGTGACAGTATTTCATGTCGTTTTTGGTCAAAAACTAAGACATTTTGACAAAAACTTTAGTAAAATTATTTTTCAAAATTGTATCTTTGCCTGCATGGTTGTCATAAAATTAGTGAACGTAGAGAACATTTTTACAAATTTTTCTGTTTAAAACATTTTGTCAAAACGTCAGTTTTTCATGTCAACTTTGTTTAAAAACTAAGAAACTTTGGTGAAAATGTTTTGTAAAATTATTTTTCAAAATTGTATCTTTGCCTGCATGTTTGTCATAAAATTAGTGAACGTAGAGAACATTTTTACAAATTTTTCTCTTTAAAACTTTTTGTCAAAGTGACAGTATTTCATGTCGTTTTTGGTCAAAAACTAAGACATTTTGATGAAAATGTTTGTAAAATTATTTTTCAAAACTGTATCTTTGCCTGCATGTTTCTCATAAAATTGGTGCTTGTAGAGAACATTTTTAGAAATTCTTCTTTTTAAAACTTTTTGTCAAAACGTCAGATTTTCATGTCATTTTAGGTCAAATACTAAGACATTTTGACGAAAATGTTTGTACAATTATTTTTCAATATTGTATCTTTGCCTGTATGTTTCTCATAAAATTAGTGCACGTAGAAAACATTTTTACATTTTTTTCTTATTAAAACTTTTTGTCAAAATGTCAGTATTCCATGTCAGTTTTGGTCAAAAACTAAGACATTTTGATGAAAATGTTTGTAAAATTATTTTTCAAAACTGTATCTTTGCCTGCATGTTTCTCATAAAATTAGTGCACGTAGAGAGCATTTTTAGAAATTTTTCTGTCTAAAGCTTTTTGTCAAAATGTCAGATTTTCATGTCATTTTAGGTCAAAAACCAAGAAATATTGATACAAATGTTTGTAAAATTATTTTTCAAAACTGTATCTTTGCCTGCATGTTTCTCATAAAATTACGGCACGTACAGAACATTTTTAGAAATTCTTCTTTTTAAAATTTTCTGTCAAACTGTCAGATTTTCATGTCATTTTAGGTCAAAAACCAAGAAATATTGATACAAATGTTTGTAAAATTATTTTTCAAAACTGTATCTTTGCCTGCATGTTTCTCATAAAATTGGTGCTTGTAGAGAACATTTTTACAAATTTTTCTGTTTAAAACATTTTGTCAAAATGTCAGTTTTTCATGTCATTTTTGGTCAAAAACTAAGAAATTTTGACAAAAACGTTCGTAAAATTATTTTTCAAAATTGTATCTTTGCCTGCATATTTCTCATAAAATTAGTGCACGTAGAAAACATTTTTACATTTTTTTCTTATTAAAACTTTTTGTCAAAATGTCAGTATTCCATGTCAGTTTTGGTCAAAAACTAAGACATTTTGACAAAAACTTTAGTAAAATTATTTTTCAAAATTGTATCTTTGCCTGCATGGTTGTCATAAAATTAGTGAACGTAGAGAACATTTTTACAAATTTTTCTGTTTAAAACATTTTGTCAAAATGTCAGTTTTTCATGTCATTTTTGGTCAAAAACTAAGACATTTTGACAAAAACTTTAGTAAAATTATTTTTCAAAATTGTATCTTTGCCTGCATATTTCTCATAAAATTAGTGCACGTAGAAAACATTTTTACATTTTTTTCTTATTAAAACTTTTTGTCAAAATGTCAGTATTCCATGTCAGTTTTGGTCAAAAACTAAGACATTTTGATGAAAATGTTTGTAAAATTATTTTTCAAAACTGTATCTTTGCCTGCATGTTTCTCATAAAATTGGTGCTTGTAGAGAACATTTTTAGAAATTCTTCTTTTTAAAATTTTCTGTCAAACTGTCAGATTTTCATGTCATTTTAGGTCAAAAACCAAGAAATATTGATACAAATGTTTGTAAAATTATTTTTCAAAACTGTATCTTTGCCTGCATGTTTCTCATAAAATTGGTGCTTGTAGAGAACATTTTTAGAAATTCTTCTTTTTAAAATTTTCTGTCAAACTGTCAGATTTTCATGTCATTTTAGGTCAAATACTAAGACATTTTGACGAAAATGTTTGTAAAATTATTTTTCAAAACTGTATCTTTGCCTGCATGTTTCTCATAAAATTGGTGCTTGTAGAGAACATTTTTAGAAATTCTTCTTTTTAAAACTTTCTGTCAAACTGTCAGATTTTCATGTCATTTTAGGTCAAATACTAAGACATTTTGACGAAAATGTTTGTAAAATTATTTTTCAATATTGTATCTTTGCCTGTATGTTTCTCATAAAATTAGTGCACGTAGAGAACATTTTTAGAAATTTTTCTGTCTAAAGCTTTTTGTCAAAATGTCAGATTTTCATGTCATTTTAGGTCAAAAACCAAGAAATATTGATACAAATGTTTGTAAAATTATTTTTCAAAATGGTATATTTGCCTGCATGTTTCTCATAAAATTAGTGCACGTAGAAAATATTTTTAGAATTTTTGCTGTTTAAAACCTTTTGTCAAAATGTCAATTTTTCATGTCATTTTTGGTCAAAAACTAAGAAATTTTGATAAAAACTTTTCTCATAAAATTAGGGCATTCAGAAAACATTTTTGGAAAATTATTTTTATAAAATCTTCTGTCAAAATGTGAACTTTTTATGTCATTTTTGGTCAAAAATGAAACAATTTTGACAAAAAGTTTGGTAAGATTATTTTTCAAAATTGTATCTTTTACTGCATGTTTCTCATAAAATTAGGGCAGTTAAAGAATATTTTTAGAATTTTTGTTTTATAAAATTTTCTGTCAAAATGTGAACTCATTTTTTGTCAAAAAGTAATACATTTTGTTGAAGATATTTGCAACATTATTTTTTAAAAATGTATCTTTTACTGCATGTTTCTCATCAAATAAGAGTATTTAGAGAACATTTATTTTTGATGATGGTTTTTTTTAAATGTGAACTTTTTGTGTCATTTCTGGCCAAAAACTAATACATTTTGACAAAAAGCTTTGAAAACTGGAAAAGGAGGAGATAAGAATGTGGAAGTGTGTGTTTCCGTGTGTGCTGTTGTTTAACCTGCGAGCTAGTAAGGCATTCATCTCCTGCATCAGCCCCTCCCCTCCACCACCGCTGCTCCCACTAGACCGATTGGAATCGCTTTTCCCTCCAGAACCAGGCGAACTGCTTTCATCCTGTGGAGAAAGTTTAGAGGTAAAAGGATCATGTCCTGCTACAACAGGTATGACGACACTCAATACGAGACGGACTGGATCTACTCCACCACAGTGCTCACCCTGTGTACTTTACGTAGCTTGGCACCAGCCAATGCTGCCGCCAGCCCTGAGGGTTGGTGTTGGATGCCTGGAGGACCACCAGGAGGCCCCCCACCAGCAGGCAGGGGAGGGGGCATGGGAGGGGGCACAGCCATAGGAGGTGGTGGGCCTGGTGGTGGCGGAGGTGCTGGAGGACCAGCAAGGGGAGCTGGAGCTGAAGTTGGAGGAGGTGCCACAGAGAGCATGGCCGGGTGACCTGCGGAGACAGGAGGACCTGGGAGAGGCAGAACTTCAGATCAGACTTTTACACAACTTTTTCTGCAAATAGAATATTCACCAGAAAATGTTGAAATAGATATCTAAAATAAAGGTCAGAATTCTTAAATAATTTTGACTGAAATCTTCAAGTTATGAATGAAAGAAAATCAGCTTAATTTGGACTTTTTTCTCAAATTTTAAGTGAAAGAAGAGAAATTTAAAAAAATAATGTGGTTGTAACGTTTTCATTAAAAAGTACACAAAAACAAAAACAAAATAACTAATTTTCAGACAAAAGGACAAAGAGATTTCCACTCCACAACTTAATTCCTAGAAATTATTTCTTATACATCAGCAGCTTAATTATATTAGGGTAAGTAGAAATTATTACCTGCAGAGTTTCAACAATTGGCACAGAGGCAAATGTTATCACAAATTTATTTGGTGAACTTAAGAGACAGTTTGTTGTATAAAGACCCTAAGTCTGTTAAACAGTCAGTGAACGACAGACACGACAGACACAGTTGCTGAGAGCTAAACGGTGACCGTCCTGTGGTTAGACATAAGAGTGCAAACCACTGTATCACTGTAGAACAGCGGTCCCCAACTTTTTTTACACCACGGACCGGTTAAATGTCTGACATTTTTTTCACGGACCGGTCTTTAAGGTGTGTATATTAAGGTAATATAGAATGATTCGTCTCCAAGTGGCGAGGCAGTTTTGAAGGCTTCACCGCCTCATTAAAGAGCCGCTCGCCACGTATTATGCAGCGCAGGTTTGGTGAGAGGGAACAACTTGTTGCAATAAATCCATATTTTAAGCAGGACTCCTGCAATTGTGAGTTAAATGCAGCTACTTTTTCTTTGAAGATGCAGGTTTTTCTTCTGTCTCCTCATCGGCTCTTTTAACCTGCACTAAGAAAATTTCCACAGATATTTGGTTTTTATTCATGTCCTAGCGCGGGGTTGTCAATTTAGCGGTAATGTATTGTATTACCGGCCACAGCAGACCTTTTAAGAAGGGAGCAGATGTAGGTAAGACATTGCATTTGTAACTAGCTATTTAGAGTGTGTGTTTGAATGAAATAATTTTCTGTCAACACATGTAATTTAATTCACTATGTTGGTTCCATAGTGAAGTGGTTAGCACGCCTGTCCTTAGTTCAATTCCCAGAGGAACAACATGCTTGGCACCTGCCAGGGGCCGCCGTTGCAGCTGGTAACACAAGAATTTCCCAAATATGGGATAAATATTATCACAATTATTTTTTCATCTTCTTTGTCCCTTTTTCTGAAAAGTTAAGTTCTACATGCATTTTATTTGATTTTGTACCACAGTGTTTGAAAACAAGATTATTTGTTTTAAGTGTTCTTGATGTATTTTTTATTCATAGTCATATTCATATTTTTAGACATTAAGAGTAATTAAGTAGTTAGAGTAGTTATTTATTAAGCTGCTAATGACATGTTTACTATGTATTAGTGTCTGAGGTGTTTTTACACTCCTAAATAAAGATCAACTGAAAGACCAGTGTGGGGAATTGTTGTCTTTAAGGTGATGACGTTTTTCAGGATCATAAATTTGTCGATGCTGGTGGAACGACACGGATCTGTTGCATAAATTAAATTGAACCCACAGGACTCGCCCTGGACATAACTGAACTCATACAAACACATGTAGTAACATCTCTCAGCTGAGAGACTGCCTCCTCCTCTCTCCTCTCCTCCTTATACTTACTGCTGCTAGCCACAGGGACCTGCTGGGGGACAGGGGAGTGGGCCTCCTTGGGTAAGGCACCATCAGGCATAGCTGCGTAAGAAGGGGGTGAGGAGGAGGTGATGGTGGCTGTAAGGGGCTGGGCCTGTTGGTGGTACACCTGCTGCTGCTGTGGAGGTGGAGTTGGTGGAAGCTGTTGCAGATGCTGCTGAGGGTGGAGGCTGGGTGGATACTGGGGCTGGTGGGCTGTCAGAGGAGGCAGGGGTGTGGGTTCACAGTGCTGAGGCATGGGTGCTGGATGCTGAGAGTGAGGTGAGTAAGAGTTGTCTGGCTGGCCGTTGGAGTGGGGGTGAGGTGGGTGCTGGGCGTACTGCTGCTGAGCAGCACCCTGCGGGTCGAGAGATGGGTGCTTCATCCTGGTGCTCAGGGGTGGGAGTGGGTGGGCTACGGGCAGGACGGGCTGAGGGGGCAAGCCCTGCTTCACTGGCACGGCCATCATGACGGGAGGGGAAGAGGAGGGGGCCATCTGGGCGTACATCTGCTGTAAATGTGAGGCGGACCAGGTGCCGTGTTTGGGAGGCAGCATGAGGTCCTGCTGCTGCTGCTGCAGGAGCAGGTGTCGGGCAGCTGTGGGTGGAGACAGGGGGATCTGACGGACTTGTCGGCCCTGGGTGGTCACTCCTGCCTGCACTGGGGAAAAAGCTGAAGCGAGCGAGGTGGAGAGCTGGGAGGAGAGCTGGGCCTTGTCCCTAGCTGCTGCTAGCTCCTTCTCCTGAGAAGGAGAGGAGGAGGCAGAGGAGGAGGGGGGAGAGGAGGAGGCCACGCGGACATAGGCAGGTGGCAGTGTGCTAGCTCTGTACTGTCTGTACTCGGGTGGAGTGTCAGGGTGGATGGGGGGAGTGGAGACTTTATATTGGAGAGTGGAAACGACTGTGGCAGGCAGAGAATAAAAGACAGGGAGAGGGGGAGGGAGGGAGAGAGAGAGAGAGAGAGAGAGAGAGACAGAGACAGAGAGACAGAGAGAGAGGAGGAGATGCAAACAAAGAGGACAAAGGAGGGCCACAAACAAAAGAAAACAGAAAAGAGAAAAAATGTGAGAAGAATGAAAAGCAACCAACTGATCAACCAAGCAAGTTGAGATGAAAAAAAAAAATCAGGAGCAATCCAAAAAACTGAAGCAGTTGCAAATCAGAAATAAACAATCAAATTATCATAATAAAACAAAAGAAGAAGCAGCAGAATGCAACATGACTGAGCCAATGATCAGAAAGCATGTGGCATTTCCCCTCAACAGTAGCTGGAAGCAGGAGATGGCAGTGCAGCACGTGTTGCAGGGACGGGGGAGGGAGGGTCTCTGAAATCGGCACTGACAGCAGGAACGGAGGAGGATGTTTAAGTCTGAGTGTGGAGTTAAACAGCAGACTTGAACATTTACACATGGATTAAAAAAACAAACAAACATAAGGACGTAGGTACAAACTGAAGATGTAGCTACGGTGGGAACCACTTACACACTGAGGAAACCAGGCTGGGAAATCTCTGCTAGTTATTAATAGTTAATGGAATTAGATGTTTGACTTTGGTGACACAGTGTCACCGTGTGTGAACCAACACTGTACAAAACACTGTGCTGAGTAAACACTGACTCACTGACAGATAGAACATGTTATGAGGCTTTTTATTGACTTTGTCTTGAATGTGCTGTGAAGCGCATGTGTGTAAATACCGAGTGTTTGGTTTTGTGTGTGTGTGTGTGTTTAAATATAAGGGTGTGGAGTTTTTTTTCTTTTCGTAGCCTCACCTGATCCTGACGTCCGTCTCTCCCTCTCCTTGTGGGCTTGCATCTGATGCTGCTCCATCATCCTATAATTTACAACGACGTTAACTGCTCTTAAATCTGCTCTGAGATTCATCACACGTATCAAGAGCAGCTGACTCTGTGTAGATCAGTTATCACAACATGGATGGTCACAATGTTTGAGGGTCAGAAACTGCCACAGCTCAGGGCAGAAATGACCTTCAAATATCTTAATTTGACCTCACTTTGACAAAGTCTTTAAAAAAAAGGTACAAGGTAGAAAATAATTACTCTACATTCCA